TCTTTTGTCATTTTGGAATACTCTGGAGTGGGTTGGTGTTGGGTTGCATAAGAATGTGAGATGAATTCCTATGCACTTAGGAGATATGGGTTATTTGAGTACAAAATTAGTGTCTTGTTTGGATCACTTCAGTTAGTGACAAAAGACTTGCTAGAACCAAAAGTCCAATAGATAGCAAAGGCCGCACAAGTTTGCTGCCACCACCTTTCAGATCTGGAAAAACATGAACAAAGACGATCGTATTTAAATAAGCCCTGCCCTTCCCAACTCAACTTCTGCTCTTTACAGAAAAGACTTAAAGATTGGATATTCCTGTCCTAAATTGATATTAAATTATAGGGCCATTGAGTTGTAAGATGAACATGGATTCAGTCCTCCTTTGTGTTGCTGCTTGCAAAACAAAAAAGTTGTAAAGGGAATATGTAAATGTACCTTAGATCTCAAGTCGGTATATGTTAGAGAAAAATGGAAGTGTTGGAGGAAGAAAAGAAGAGAAATAAAATGTGGGAGGTCGGGCTGGGGTTGTGGCTCAGGGGTGGAGCACTCGCCTTGCACGTGAGAGGCCCTGGGTTCGATTCTCAGCACCACATAAATAAATAAAATAGAGATATTGTGTTCAATTACACTAAAAAGTAAATATTTTTTTTTAAATGTGGGAAGAAAAAATGAGTGTGATTTTGTGTATTTAATGAAGTGAGAACAGATAAAGATAGGAAAAGMTATGTCATGGGGTTTAAGAGTAGTTGAGCCTTTCTCAGCTATATAGACTAGAAATGTTTTTGATGCAGATAAAGCTGACAGAAAAGATCACAGGAACTAAGAAGTCTTGGGAACATGAGTAGTAATGATAGGGATATGGTTGCAGATGGATAGGTGCAGAGAAATGGGAATAATGACATCTGGAAAAAAGAGTGAGGAAGAATGGCTACCAAACAAGCATAGGCTGTGGTTCACCATAAATATTTGAAAGCTACACTCCTTCCCTTTGCCCTCTCCACTCATACACTATTTTCTTCTTCTTGAAGAACTGCTGATCTTGCTTGAAGAATAATCCACATTATCGGGAACTACGAAACACAGCCCTCACACCTCTGAGCAAATTCCTTCATGCTTTCTTGCTCGCGTCAATGAACTGTGTGCATCACCTACCCACCCTAGCTATTCTGGAATGCTTAGGCAAATACTCCATTGAGTTGAGTCATACTTGAGAGCTGACTTCAGTGTACATTTTAGTAGGAAACCTAGTTAGAGTTTCATGCACCAGGAAATCTGCTCTGATTAGTTTTAGCTTAATTGTGTGTGCGTGCTGGGGATCAAACCCAAAGYTTTGTGTATGCTAGACAAGTACTCTACTACTGAGCTGTAGCCCCAGCCCTGAGCAATCTGTTTTTTGGTTTGTTGTTTGGTACCAGGGATTGAACCCAGKAGTGCTTAACCTCTAAGCCACATCCCCAGCCCTATATTTATTTTTTATTTTGAGACAGGGTCTCACTAAGTTGCTTAGAGCCTTGATAAATTGCTGAGGCTGGCTTTGAATTTGTTATCCTCTTGTGTCAGCCTCCCAAACTACTGGGATTACAGGCATGCACCTTGTGTCTGGTGCAATCTATTTTTAAGAATGGACACAGAAACAATTATGCAACCATGTGGGTTTTATTGATCCTATTTTTATAAACATAAACTAATATGCAGATAGAAATAATTTAAAGCTCTCAAGAGGGTAGTGATCCCTTAAGGCTTCCCAAAGGTAACATGTTTTCCTGTTAATTCTTCCAGAAATCACTATCTAAATTATATATTTGTACATACATACACACATATATATATAATAAGAATAAGGTAAGAATAAATACAGATATAAATAGGAAACAATATATAGTGGGGTTTAAGAGTAGTTGAGCCCTTATCAGCTATAATGAATAGAAATGCTTGTGATCTAGAACAACTGACAGAAAAAGGACAGAAAAGATCACAGGAACTAGGAAAATATAATACACACACACACACACACACACACACACACGAAGTTGGTGAGGGTCTTGCTAAGTTGCTGAGGCTGGCCTTGAACTTGCAATCTTCCTGTCTCAAGTTCCCTAGTTGCTGGGATTATAGGCATGCACCGCTGTACCTGGTGGATAGTCCCTTTTCAAATGGCTTAATAATAAAGTCATAATTTAAATTTTTTTTCTGTATGTATATGTTTGGTTACTTTGCTATTCTTTATTAATGTATTATCACTAGAATGACCAGTATGTCTGTGGCACATAAATTCCATATTTGGAAAAACAGAAGAAAGGCAATTACATTAGGCCCCAGCTTCCTTAATAAGAYTTCTATATTGCAATAATTAAAATAAAGAATAAATAAATGGGATGGATTCAAACTAAAAAGTTTCTTCTCAGCAAAAGAAACAATCTGTGAGGTGAATAGAGAGCCTACATATTGGGAGCAAATCTTTACCCTTCCCACATCAGATAGAGCACTAATCTCTAGGGTATATAAAGAATCAAAAAACTAAGCACCAAAAAAACTAAATAACCAAATCAATAAATGGGCCAAGGACATGAACAGACACTTCTCAGAAGATGATATGCAATCAATCAATAAGTATATGAAAAAATGTTCATCATCGCTAGCAATTAGAGAATTGCAAATCAAAACTACTCTAAGATTTCATCTCACTACAGTCAGAATGGCAGCTATTAAGAAACAAACAACAGTAAGTGTTGGTGAGGATGCAGGGGAAAAGGCACATTATATATTGCTGATGGGACTGCAAATTGGTGTAGGCAATATGGAAAGCAGTATGGAGATTCCTTGGAAACCTGGAATGGAACCACCACTGGACCCAGCTATCCCTCTCCTAGGTCTATACCCAAAGGAATTAAAAACAGCATACTACAGGAACACAGCCACATCAATGTTTATAGCAGTACAATTCACAATAGATAAACAGTGGAACCAACCTAGATGCCCTTCAGTAGATAAATGGATAAAGAAAATGTGGGATTTATACACAATGGAATATTATTCAGCAATAAAAGAGGATAAAATCATGGCATTTGCAGGTAAATGGATGGAGTTGGAGAAGATAATGCTAAGTGAAGTTAGCCAATCCCAAAAAAACAAATGCTGAGTGTTTTTTCTGATATAAGAAAGCTGATTCATACTAGAGTAGGTAGGGGGAAGCATGGGAGGAATAGAGGAACTCTAGATAGGGCAGAGGGGGTTGGAAGGGGAAGGGAGGGGGCATGGGGTTGGAAATGATGGTCGAATGTGATGGACATTATTATCCAAAGTACATGTATGAAGACATGAATTGGTGTGAATATAGTTTGTATACAACCAGAGATATGAAAAATTGTGCTCTATATGTGTAATATGAATTGTAATGCATTTCACTGTCATATATAAATCTTAAAAATTAATAAAAAAAGAAAGGCAATTACAGTAAAATTTCTCAAAACACAAAGTAAGGATGGAGGGAACGATCTTGGTTCATAACCAGAGCTGACAAAGGCACAGAAACAAAAACAAAATTAAAATCTATGATGATCTTAGTAAGAAGGTGTGAAGGGATGAAAGACAAGGGAAAAATGGCACAGCATGGATAAATTCATAAAATGCAGTTGGGATAAATATAGATAGATGGAAAYTGTAACTGAAGTTGCTCTAGGAATGTCAAGGATTTCCAACATGTGTGGGGCTGAGAGAGGGTGTTATTTTGTGCAGCTGTTGAATGGGGTGCTCATTCCTGAGTTCTCATTTTCCACTTGTTGGGYAATAAAGCTTTTTGGGTGAGTGGCATGATAGTTTCACCCAGAGAAGCCAATCATTTTACTGTTCTAGGGCTGGGCTTAAGAATTAAAGGAAAGGTTCCATTTCGCTATTTCATTATTCTTGACCAAGAAAGTACCATTTAGGGAAAACTTTAAAGAATACTATTAGAACATGTGGTAAAATTTTCTTCCTGTGCTTTTGTTGTTGTTGTTATTTTGTTTTAACTTCACCTTRGGCTATTCTACAAATTAGTTTTCCAGAATTTAGGATAATACTTGTATTTGCTTCCTTAACTGTTATTCTGCTTCAGATTTTAAAAGGAGGTTTGAGAATTAATCAGATCATCATAATAAGCACATAGCAAGAAAGTATCTTCTGAGGAAATTCTGAGCCCTTATTAGGAACSTGTTTCTTGCAGAAAGACATATTTTCAAGAGAAAGTGACTAGGAGTTATTTCAAAGACTATTTTAGCAGAATTATGAAACTCCTTTTAAAAATCTTTACATGGGTTTTATTACATTATCARCTGGTTGTTTCTATAGTTCAAAAAAGGCACACTGGGTCAAGTATGGTAGGAAACAAAGAGTGCTGCTTCCGGAGAGTGTGAGAATATYAGTATAAAGATGCCGTAAAAATAAACTGAGCATTTGAAGTGTGTACAGTCTGTTGGCATGTCCTCATTCCGGGACTTCGGTATTGCAATCATTCTATTCCTTCGATATTATGCTACACATCATAGTCATTAGACCACTTTATGATGCAAAGTTAATTTCAGCATATAACTCTGGRCATGTCGTTGAGAGTCAAAGCAGACCTAGTTAATGGTTATCAATTTGGTACCCATTTGCCAACTTTAGAAGACTCACAACTCAACTTGGAACAAAGCTTTGCATAGATGTCTGTTTCCCTAGTTACCCTTATCATAGCTCTACCCTTGGTGAAGATTAGCCAAACCGAACATGTCATCATCTCTTATTGCTGTTTTATGAGGGGCTCGGGTGCCAATTACCGGTTCCCTAGAATTTGCCTGTAATTGACTAGGTCCCACAATAGGTAACTCTGGAAGTGACAGGCAGCCTCAAGTGGGGTTCTCCCGTCCGTCTATTGGGCTTTGCAGGAAGCCCCGCCTCATCAACTCAGCCAAGGGCGGTAGTTGGCCCGGGGTCGGTGAGTGGCGGCTCTTAGCTCCGCCCTAGCCGTCCGCTGCGCTGCCTGGGTCGGCGCCGTTTCCAGTTGAGAGATGGCGGCCGCCGCAGGTAGATCGCTCCTGCTGCTCCTCTCTTCCCGGGGCGGCGGCGGGGGCGCCGGCGGCTGCGGGGCGCTGACTGCGGGCTGCTTCCCGGCCCTGGCGGTCAGCCGCCACCGGCAGCAGCAGCACCACCGGACGGTGAGCGAGCGCACCGGGCGGCTCCGGGGAGGGCGGGGCGGCGCTGGCGTGTGGGAGCCGCCGGCGGGCAGGCCGCCGGGGCAGCGGGCGAGTTACCTCAACTCCCGGCCGTTCCCGAGGTTGCTGGGCACCGAGGAGCCGCCGTGCCCTTCAGGCGCCTGCGGCGGCGACCAGGAAGGGAGGGCTGGCGCGAGGAAGCCAAGAGGAGGAGGAGGGGCGACGGCGGGGATGTTCCCGCAGGACTGGGGACACCAGGGCGGGGAAGGGACGGGACGTGAACCTCTCCCTGACCCGCCTATGTTCTCGGTCCCTCCCTCCTTCTTTCTTAACAGCTCTGCCCCAATGCTCCGAACTGAGCCCCGTGCAAGTTGTCCCTCCTCCTCTTGGCGGGTTGGGGTGTCCTAAGTTGCCGCGGCTGCCTTGTGTATGTGTCAGAAGAGTGGCAGTGCCATGCTGCTGGAAACTGTCCCCGGAGAGCCACCCAGGACCCCAGCGGGGCTGCTCACTCGTCCTCTCTCTGCCCTAGGCGAATGGCCAAGAAGGAAAATCAAACTTTATCCCCCTCTCTGACTTCCTGCATGTGTGTGTGCCCGGGGGCCAGCTTCCTCGAGATGGATGCTGCATTGCTTCAGGAGACCAGCTCCATCCCCTCGGGTCCTTAAAGGTCCTCAGTGGTTCTTTCCGAGGGCTGTTTTTTGGGCTTCACAAGTGCCTGAAGAAGGAAGGGTGGGCAGCAGGCACAGGGGAAGAGAATATGACAAGTTGTTCCCATAGGCAGAGATTTGGTGGTTGTATTAACCAGTTACTGCTGGGTTTCATTGGCTGGCAATGAAAGGGAGTTTCTATTTGAACAGCCTTGGGGTGTGTGCGGGGAGCTGGGAGGGGTGGGTAGGAGGGAGAGAGGGAGAGATTTCTTTTTTTAATTTATAAAAGATCAACTTGGCAGGGAGTTCTTGACCTAACAAGTCAGCAGGTTCCGTTCCTTTGGACTTTCTAGACCCATATGTATTGGGCTCTGGCCAACTCAGAGAGAATGAGTGTAGATTTTATTTCCTAGGGCTACGTCGTGTAGTGTGGTAGGTAAAAAGGATGATCACTGCAGACAGCTTAATGGGAGGAACTAGTGCCTTCAGTTCTCAACAAACACATCACCTGTCTTGTTCTGATCATATAGCTCTTAAGAGGAAACAACTGCATGTTTTCAGAGAAGATACCCTCAGACCCATGATAGCATAAATTGTTGAAAGAGCTGTGAAAAGAACTGATGCTCTGCAAATGCAAGATAGTATTGCTATTATTAGTCAATGTTATGGACCCTGTCTTCATTCCTGTGAGAAAAATTGCACTTTTTCATATTTAGCATACAGGCATATTGCTTTGCTGAAGCTTTTGGGTGAGAGCCGAGCTTTTCTTTAGTTCAGTTTACATTTATGTGTTTCATAGCCTCGAATTATGTGTTTTGTTCTCTTAAAAACATAAGGTGACCCCAAAATCTGTTTGCATTCCTCTCTCTCCCAAACTATTTAAAGACTTCCCAAGTTGTCTTTCTCTCTGCTTTTTGATAAGACATGGTCTGACTTTGCACAGTTTGTTTTTAATACTGTTTGGGTGTGGTATTCATGTAGCATTTTAAAATTGTGTTTCATAGATTTTCGACTATGTGAATGCATCAGGCTGTGAGTGTCTTCCTTGTGGGGATACTTTGGGAAAGTGTTCTTCTGTGCTATTCTGGGATGGGTAGAACTGATGTGCTGAATTTGTAACTGAAAGTACATTTACAATGAAGTGTTATTTCTGAAGGACAGAAGTGTTGTCATGGGAATGGTGACTTGTAAATGAACTMAGAATTCTAAGATTTTGAAAAAAGTTGAATCTTATTATTTAAAATGTGTAAATGAATTTTCAATTTTTCTGTGATTGCTCTAAAATCATCATGTGACCTGCTGTCTCCATCTGATATTCTATGATTCCTCAGCAGACAATTTGAAAAATATCTGTTAGAGATTAAATTCTTGATATTTCTTGCCTGAAATTGAGGCCCAGAAAGGGGAGAAACTTGTCTGAGATTAACACAGCTGTCATGTAATAGTTATAGGACTCCTACTCACCCCAGATATTATGACCTCCTTGTTATGTTGTTTTTATTATAACTGCAATTGTTCCTTTTCATCTTTGACCTCCCTTATAAAATTAACTAATTGTCTGTTACAAAATTATTGGTATTTCGAAATCCTATGAGCAGGAATTCTGTTAGTAGATGTGATTTGAGGCACGTGTATTAGGTCAATGTGGGAATAAACAACTTTCTGGAAAGAATAGATGTTCTTATAAGAAGGTACATGAGAGACACTAAGATTGACTCTTGCACAGGAGACATCCTGTGTGTGTGCAGCAGATGGCACTCTGCATTGGCCTGGATCACAAGTCCAACTTGTGCCACTTTTGTTCTGCTGTAGTGGGTATGGTAAATCAGAGCAGGGGAACATAATCTATTATAGTACTGCTTAATTTTTTGTCATATTTTTGGAAATGCATCTTTTCTGAGTTTGGTGAATGAGTTCAATGTGATACAGTAGTTCAGCTGATTGGTAAATGCAATTGCAGAGTTAGAAACATAATTTCCCCCCCATTAAAACATCTTTCAATGATTAAAATATTATCTCCCCCTGCCCCCCAATACTAGCAATTGAACCCAAGGTTCTCTGTCACTGAGCTACATCCCCAGCCCTTTTTGTTTTTTATTTTGAGACAAAGTCTCACTAAGTTACCTGGGCTGGCCTTGAATTTGTGATTCTCCTGCCTCAGCCTCCTGAGTAGATCGGATTATTGGTGAGTATCTGGGATTACAGGTGTGTGTCACCATGCCTGGCCTTTTATTTATTTATTTATTTATTTATTTATTTATTTATTTATTTATTTATTTATTTATTTATTTATTTGAGGTGTTGTCCAGTCTGGCCTCTAACTCCTGGGTTCAAGAGATCTATCTGCCTCAGCCTCCCAAGTAGCTGTGACAGTAGGTATGTGCCACTGTACTCAGCTTTAAAAAATCTTTCAACTGAGTAAATGGGAGTAAAGGTATAGTGGCTTTTTCAATATTTTTAGCACCATGTAGTGTAATTTTTCCCTTCCTGTGTGAAGAACCTGTTATTGCTGTCCAGATTGTGACTGTAACTGAGACTGTTATAAAATGTTTGCTGTTTTCCTTTCTGTATGGCAAGTGAAGGTGGCTGCTATTTTCAAGGGGCACTGCCTTTCATTGTGGGCTGAAAATTCTTTGTTAAATCAAACTGTCTCATCTCTGATTAGGACAGTCTGACTGTTGGCGTTTCCTACTGATCAACTGCTGTGAATTACTAAATCTCTTTCTTTTCATTGTACTGGACAGTTTGTAGCTGTCCTGCTCTACTGTACCCTTTGCAGTTCTTTGACAGTGATACTCTCCCAGCTAAGACTGAACGTTTTAATGAGTTCATATTGCCTAATACCAATCATAGTTTTTTATTGAGTTTTTGATGGTCTGGCCCAATCTTCCTTTGCCAGATCCTCTGCAGCAGATACTCCACTGTACTCAAACCTATCTCTGCACTGTCCCTAAGTGTCCCATACATCTGTACTAAAAGTTTATGTAGTTTTTGTAGCTTAATTTCAGCCTTCACTCATAATCCCTCCTCAAACCTCTAACATCTATTTTAGGGTAGAGACTGTGATCTGCAAATCCTATTTTGGTTTATTTTGAGACAGGGTCTATGTTATTTATTTTGCCCAGAATGGCCTCAAACTCTTGATTGTCCTGCTTCAGCCTGCTGAGTAACTGGGACTACAGGTATGCACCTGGCTACAACTTCTTTTGAATCCAACATTTTTGCTAAATCCCTTTTAGATAATGTTTATGGTTAAAAACAGAATTGGTATTAAAATTCCTTTAAATAAAGGTGCGTTCAATAAGTTCGAGTCTGAATCTTTATATGTGTGATTCCTGGCTCTTATTTTTAAAAAAATCTTTGGTACTGGGGATTAAATCCAAGAGTGCTTTACTAATGACCATATCCCCAACTTTTAATTGCCCAGGCTGGCCTGGAACTTTCTTTTTTTTTTTTTTTTTTTTAAATATTTATTTATTTATTTATTTTAGTTCTCGGCGGACACAACATCTTTGTTGATATGCGGTGCTGAGGATCGAACCCAGGCCGCACACATGGCAGGCGAGCGCGCTACCGCTTGAGCCACATCCCCAGTCCCTGGCCTGGAACTTTCGATCCTCCTGCCTCAGTCTCCTGAGTGGCTAGGATTACAGATGTGTACCATCATGCCCAGTGATTCCTAACTCTTAATCCCTTTCCTCTCTGTCCTGTCTTCTCTGAATTCTGATAGGTTTTATTATCTTTAGGACACAGATTGACATTGTCCTGTTCTCTAAATGCTTCATTTGTTGGCGTCTTATCTTACCGGAGAGATAAAACAAAAATGTATATCTTACCCGCCCCCAACTTGTTTAATAGTCTGTTGCTTAGGTAGCTGAATTTGGGTGATTGCTTTAAGCTTGGTATTGCCAGTTCTAACTTCCGTTGTATGTTGTACTTCTTGAGGTTAAATTGGTGGAAAGAGTTGGTACCATTGGATTAGTTTTGTCGTGTTCACTAACTTTCTGTCTCTAGTCAGCAAAAGTATGATAATTAACCAGATTATTATAAGTATATACTTGAATCAGATTCCAAATTTGTTATTGTTACTATTCTACTATACTAAGATTTTGAGAGTGAAGATAAATATGTTTAAAACAGGCTTCTTTTTTTTAAGGAAGCAAACATTTTTTTATTCATTTTAAAAATTTTCTGTAAAATATTTGAGTGAATGAACTTGAATGCATTCAACAAATTCTGATTATTTGATTTTTTCCGAGTCTCAAAGGACTATTGTATGTTTTTTATGGAACTCAGAGTACTCTAACAGAAAACTTAAATAGAAAATACAGTAGCAAGAATTGTGTAATTAGCTTG